TTACAGGCACGTCGGCCTGGGGGGTTATGGGCGCACTCACCCGCTACACAAAAAAAGCCCTTTTATCCCAGTGGTTAGTGACTGGGATTCTGACAGAGGCTAACCTCTATGCGTGTGAGAAGGGACTTGGAGCTTTCGGGGCGGATGATTTTGAAGGGATGAAATAGCGTTCGACAGGCTAACACTAACCCTTCATGTTCCAGAGCGATAAAGCCCAGTGACACCAAATTGCGGGTTGACCGTGGAAAAAAACCCCTCGTCGAAATAGCCGCGATGATTCAGCGGAATGGCTTGCCTGCCTATCGAACAGGGCCTTTGCTTAACGTGCGCTTCCGTGGCAATTTCGCCAATCGACTCAAGGGGGATTTCGCCAGGCACGTCAGTAGCGATTGCTTTGTGCGCGTTAGTGGCAATTACACTATGAAAAACACTAGAATTCAATGGGTGCGCTTATGCGAAGATTGATAGAATTTGGAGTGGGCTTATAATTGGCAACCGGCTATAAGCCCACTAGTCCGAATATAAGCCCATGGGTGTAACGTAGGCCTGGGGGTATATCCGGGTGATGACAACATGCCATTTTTTGCATCCTAAACAGAACACTTCCCTTGTCTGATCTTGACTGGGTCTGGCAAGCAAATTCTTGTGCCCCTGTTCAGTCTATCTAGGCAATCATAACCATTAAATCTTTTGTAGCAGTTCTTTATGCCCTTGAAGAACCTAAACTGAATGGCACTGCATCTGTCATTGTCTGTTACGATGTAGACCTCAGACAATGGACACGAGCCGAATGACATGTCCATTCTCATATTAACACACACCTGCAATGCAACAGGAACAAGAGGCCACAGGTTGAAAGGAAATGCAGTTGACCCGAGACTGAAAAGAAACCCGAGGGATGTGCGCAATTGAGAAACAATAGGTTAACACGGGAATGAGCCACTGAGTTTCACCTGATCAGCTGGCCACACTACAATGTGTATCTGTTCCTCCACTGCCACAGCCTTACCACTCCTCCAGGATAATGAGTTGCAATGCATCCCAAACGCCATATCCTGCCATATACAAGGCCACACCACCCCACCCCACCATACCTCACACACCCCACCCCACCACACTGCAGACACACCCCACCCCGCCGTACCTCAGAGCCCGGGAAGCCGGATTCAACGGAGGGCGGCAGCAGGCGGTGGCAGTAGATGCCGGGGTTCATGCGGTAGAGCTCCAGCGCACTCAGCGGCGGGTCCATCCCCGCCAGCACCGATGCACACGACGCGTTCCCTGCGCTCTGCACCCTCACACTCTCCTCGCACATGGGCATGAGAGATGTGGTACGCTCGAGGCAGATGGAGAGGCTGGTAGGGAGCTTGGAGGCGGAGCAGTCGAGGCCCGGGTTGAGGGTGAGGAGATCGGTGGTGCAGGGCTGGGAGGGGTCCGGGCAGGAGGAGGTGAGAGAGAAGAGGGAGGCGATGGACTCACACGTGTCGTTCTGGTGGGGTGGATGAGGGGAGGTGGGTGAGGAAAGGGGGGGAAGGGTGGGGTAGGGAGGCAAGGCACGAAAGCATGTGTGGGGAAGGAAGGAAAAATGAGAGATGAGAGGAGGGTAAGCCGGAAAGATAACAGGGTGGGGAGGGGGAAGAGGACGGGAAGGAGGGGGGGGGAGCGAAGGAATGGAGTAAAGGGAGGAATGGGAGTAAAGGGAGGAAACGGGGGAAAGGGAGAAGGGGGGGGAGAGGGAGATAAAGAGGAAAGGGAAGGAGGTAGAGAGAAAGGGGGGACGAGGTGAGGGGGGAGAAGGGGGAATAGGGAAGATGTGGGGAGGTAGCAGAAGAAACAGAGGGAGGAGGGGGTGAGCAAGGAGAAGTGGCGCAGGATGCGACGAAGGCAAAAAGTGTGTATTCAAGATCTCTGAAAAGTGGATCCAATATAGTGAAGACTCGTGAAGACTCCACCTGGACAGTGGTGTAGAAGGCGGAGCAGGGCGTAAGGTCAGTGTTGGGCTTCACACTGACCACTGTGCCCACTGGCAACGGCACGTCGCATGACAGCCCCTGCAGGGGTGGGTGGAGGGAAGGGTGAGGTATAGATAGAGGGCAGATGAGGGCGGATGAGGGCAGTTGTGGCAATGAGGGCGGATGAGGGCAGGTGAGGGCACATGTGGCTATGAGGGCAGATGAGCAGGGTGTGTAGCAGGAAGGGGGAGGGTGTGCAAGTGCGTGTGTGATCCACCCCAGCCCCTGCTCTCCCTCTACCCCTATCTCCCTTTTAGTCTCTCCCTCCTCCTCTATCTCTCCCCTATCTCTCCCCGTAATCCCGATACCTCCATCTCTACGCCAGTGCATGCCCACTCCCATACATTTAAGTCGACTCAAAAGTCATTTCGCTATCTCCATCGCCATGGCAGTGCGTGCCCATTCCCACACATCCAACTCCTCATGCGTCATTCCTCTCTGCCTTAACTCACCCCGTTTTGGTACAGGAACTGGGCGAGTGTGAGGCCGTAGATGGGGTGGATGTGGTAGCACCACATTGTGGCCACTGTCACAAGGAAAAAGCTCTTGCCGATGCCTGCTTGGGTAGTGGGGAGGAAAGAGGACGGGCAAAAAGGAATGAAGGAGGTAAAATAAATAAATCGATCGTAGGAATCTGGAGTCTCAAGTAACGCAATTTTCATGAACAGGCTGCTGTTGATTTTTTTTTGGTCGACTCAAAATCAAAAACAAGCTGCTGTTGACGCACCTCAACTCTTGAAGCATGAGCAGGTCGAAAGAAAGAGGGACACAGGGACAAAAGGGAGCAGGACGCAGCAGGAAGGAGCAAGGAGGGCTTAGCTTACCAGGGGCACAGGAGGGGGCGCCGATATCGGAGGTGCCGAGGTAGAAGCCGGGTGGGCACACACAGGTGTACGAGCCGTACCCGTCATTCACACAGTTGCCCACGACACACGGGTTCCTGTCACCCACACTGCACACATCTGTGCGCACTTGCAAACATACGCATGCATGCATGGACAATTTCAAGGTAGCAGCACGTTTTGGGTCGACTCACAAGACAACTGGGACCAAAGTATGCTTCAAAGTTACGACGCTCAACACTCAATGCTCAATGATTGATTCTTGATGGACCGACAGCAACTCACCAACTATGCAGCCTCCAGTCTTCCCTTCTTGCTGTTGCCCCACTCCTTCTCCTCCCCCACCATCCCCTTCTCTTGGTACAAACTCGCTGGTGAATGCATCAGTAGCACCACCACCCGTGGCACCTCCAACACCGGAAGACCCCACGGCTTGCCCAGGGCAGGAGGAGACGTCGGAGCGACAGTAGACACGGGTAGGGGACAGGCGAGAGATGCCAAAGCAGGGATCCGATGGGCCTGGTGAGGTGGTGGCGAGGAGAGGAGGGTGAGATGGTTTCAGTTGCGAGAAGTTACGAAGAAAGGGAGAGTGGATGGGGTAGCTTGTAGATTGATGGTTGCAGTTGTGGATGCTGGATGCACAGATAGGCACGCATGCACACGAGGATAGACGCACATGAGCATATGGAGATAGCATACTAGCACGCACAAACACACACACAGGTGTGTGCACACACGCGCGCACATGCACATGCACACACACACACGCACACACGTACATGTATACGCAGACACACAGATGCACGCACGCATGGACACGCATACACATACGCACGCACGCACTCGCAAAAACACACACACACACACACACACACACACACACCCACACACACACACACACACACACACACACACACTCACACACACACACACACACACACACACGCACGCACGCACACACGCACGCACGCACTCGCGCACGCACGCACTCACACACACACCTGTCTGCAGCTCCCACCAGAGCACACGGTGGTCCTGAGGCACACCCCACGAGGAGGAGGAAGCGGAGAAGGAGAGGAACACCGAGGGCCGCGACGGTGATGGTTTGAGCACGGAGCAGAGCGAGAGAGGCACGTCCAGTAACGCTTGGCCCGGCCGCACATCGCTTGCTGCCAGAAACACTCGCAGCCTCCCGGTCCTCCCGCGCCCTGCTCCGCTCTTCCTGCTGCCTCTGCTGCTGCTGGTGCTCTTGCTGAAGCTTCTGCTGCTGCTGCTGCTGCTGCTGCTGCTGCTGCTGCTGCTGCTGCTGCTGCCAGCAGCATCGGGTTCATACACGATCCACACATGCCGCGGCTCTCCACTGTTCAGCACAATGCCGTCTAGTGAAGCTGTGGCAATCGACCGGCTGTTGCCCCCCACGTTGACCCCCACGTGATTGCTGTCTGGGTCACCATTCCAGGCGTCCTTCCGCGTGTCTAACTCCACTGCCACGCTCCTCCTCTCCACTCCCTTGTACCCCATGCCTGCCCCCCCTGTCGGCTCCGTTGCACTTATCACAAAGGCTAGCCCGTCCCCTGCTCCACTCCCTGCTGCTGCTGCTGCTGCTGCTGCTGCTGCTGCTGTGGTTGAAATAGATGAAGAATAGGATAAAGCGGAGGAGGAGGAGGAGGAGGAGGAGGAGGAGGAAGAAGATGAAGAGGAGGAGGCAGCGTCGAGTTTACCAGGCTGGGAGGACATGGAGAAGGCGAAGGAGAAGTTGAAGGCGAGCTGGTAACCACAGGGGTCTCTTGGGGATGAGAGGGCGAAGAGAGTAACGAGCGGCAGCAGCGTGACGGCGCCCCACGCCCCGCGCACTCCCGGGCTCACCACAAGATTATCCGAGGAGCTGTAAGGCGGCGGCGGCGGTGGTGACGGTGACGGTGATGGCGATGGTGGTGGTGACGAAGGTGAAGGAGAGGGTGGTGGTACGTCAAGTGTCGGACCGGGGTCCACACCTGGCCCACCTGGATCTACCAGATCGGCAGTGCTGCTGGCGCTGGTGATACTGACAGGGCTGGCAGTGCTGGCAGTGCTGGCAGTGCTGGCAGTGCTGGCAGCATGGCTGGCTGCGTTGGCAGTGTCTACCTTTGGAAGCGGGTCGGACGACATGACCCCAGGCACCTCCCTTCCCCTCACCAGGGAAGCAGAGCCCTTGAGGCGCACGGAGGGAGAATCGGCGAGAGAGAGCGAGAAGGACGCAGTCTGCGCCTCCGGCACACAGGAGCCTGGCGACACACGGGTCACGTACCCGTCCTCGCACTCACACACGGGCCTCCCTGCCTTGTCCAAGCGGCACGTTCCGACGGTCGCGCATGGCTTCTGGTCGGGGGAGAGACCGCAGAAGGCGGAGCAGGCGGCGGGGGGACGCTGGGGGTGGCGGGCGCAGATGAAGGAGGAGGAGAGGGAGGAGGGCGGGGAGGAGGTGGGGGAAGGGAAGGAGAGGCAGTTGGAGCGGAGGGAGAGGGTGCTGGGGCAGTAGGAGAGGCGGGCTTCGCCGTAGAGGTAGTTGTTGTCTAGCAGCAGCGTGGCGAGGGACGGTGACCAGTCGGACGGGAGAAAGTCGGAGATCTGGTTGTTGCGCAGGTTGCTGCATGCAGGGTGAGGCGCAGACACGGAGGGATGGAGAGATGGAGGTGTGGAGGTATAAAGGGATGGAAGAAAGGAACGAGAATGAAGGGAAGGGAGGAGAGGGGGGAAAGGTTGGATGTGAGTCGTACACCAAGCGAATGACGGGTGGAACATGCTTGAATGAATCAGAAGGAAGAAGTGGGACGCACACGTGGCACGGGTCCATTACTGCTTGTGATAAGTCGAGTTGTGAGTGGACTCAAACAAGGAACATGTGGGACACACACGACTTTTGAGTCGACTCAAAAGTCAGTTCATTACTGCTTGTGATAAGTCGAGTTGTGAGTGGAGTGGGCTCAAACAAGGAACATGTGGGACACACACGACTTTTGAGTCGACTCAAACGTCAGTTCATTACTGCTTGTGATAAGTCGAGTTGTGAGTGGACTCAAAAGAGGAACAAGTGGGACACACACGACTTTTGAGTCGACTCAAAAGTCAGTTCATTACTGCTTGTGATAAGTCGAGTTGTGAGTGGACTCAAAAGAGGAACGAGTGGGACACACACGTGGTACAGGTTCGCTCCTGCTACCAAACCTCTAAGATCTTCCCTTTTCCAGCTCAACGCCATGTTGCAACAGAATCTCTCCTCCCCTCTTCCTCTAGAGGTGCCGCACATAAAAGGAGTGGGAAGAATAATGAAAGAGGGATTAGGAAAGAAGAGGAGTGAGAGGAGGGCTGACAGGAGCTGCAGGTCGGGAAGTCCGGTGAGGTAGAGGGGAATGGAGCCGTACAGCCTGTTGTTGCTCAGATCCCTGTGCTTGTGTTGCGACGCACATGCATGCATGGAATGTGAGGGAGTTCGAGGAAACACATGAGGACGAGATGAGTACATGAAAGGGAGCAGGCATGGCAGAGGGGCACGGATGGGAGACAGGCAAGAGAGGCATGGGATAGCTCTCGCCTCTGCTGGCCTTGGCCTTGCAAACTCCGTGCGGGTCACTCCACACCACACCCAGCACAGCACAGCACAGCACAGCACAGCACAGCACAGCACAACAGTGGCAGGCACGTGGTCAGTCTGCCTTCAGCAGTACTGCCGATCTGCACACAGTGGAGTGGACCGGACAGAGACTGGCAGCGCATGCAGGGTGCACGGGTGTGCGCGCGCGCGCGCGCGCGCGCACACACACACACACACACACGCACGCACGTACGTGGCAATGATCAACGCACGCACAGCGGATTGGTGAGGGGAATGCAACAAGCGCGATCTGGTCACTGGGCCCCCGCGCTTCTCATTAGCGCAAGTCCCAGCGCAATGCAGGGCAGGCAGGGCAGGGCGCGCTCACAGGTGCTGCAGGGCTGCGAGATAGCCGAGGGACTCGGGCAGCGATCCGGTGAGCTGCCTCCGACTCAACACCCTGCCCAGGCAGACCACGATAGGGGGTGGGGGAAGCGGCAGGGACAGGGACAGGGACAGGGACAGGGACAGGGACAGGGACAGGGACAGGGGCGGGGACAGGGACAGGGGGAAAAGGGGGGTGATGGGGGGAGTAAGAAAGAGAGGGGAGAGACGTGTGATGATGCTCAAACATAGACGGTAGTTACAGGTGTGCATGCATGCACGAGCAGTGAACGCGGTCGCTGGGAGGAGAGTGGAGAGAGGAGGAGAGGAGGAGAGGAGGAGATGAGCGAGGAGAGACGAGAGAGGAGAGAGGAGAGGACGCATAAAGCATAGGCGCCCCATCGCTTACTGTGTGGAGCATCACTGGATAATTAAGCCCACATAGTAAGGTCATGCCAGGTCATGCCACGTCACGTACAGCTTCTGAACTTTGCCATTCTTGTCGCACGTCACTCCCGCCATCCGCGCGCACTCTCTGCCCCTCTGCCACGTGGAACTCCCCGGAAACGCGCCCCACTGCGCCTTGAGATCCGCCAGCACCGCCACTGCGCGCCGATACAAGCGGCGGGAGTCCCGCGCACGGGGAAAGGCGGAGGGGGAATAATGGTGAGACAAAGCGAGGAGTAGGGTGTGACGTGCGGCTATCCACTGGGTCAAAACGGGGATTCTAGTATCACAGGTGCGCAGCAGATGCCCTAGCCGTCGTGTAAGGACAGACATAGGAGGAGGGGATGGAGGAGAGGCATGGGTGTGGGTGGGGGAGAGTAGAGTCAGTTGCAAAATGCTTATCCCTACGGCAGGGGGTAAAGAGCAGAGCAGGTGCATATCATAGATGATCTATGATTGGGGGACCCACGCCTTGCGCATAGAGAAGGAGATAGCCGCAGCCGGCGAGGCGCGAAATGGGCGGCATAGAGGGCCCAGCTAAGCCTGGCAGGTGAAACAGAGCTACGGCGCTACTAAGGAGGAAGAGCGCCGTAGCTAAGAGAGAAGAGATTCCAAGAATATAGAAATAGAGATTGATCCAAGGATGAGATGATACAAGAAGATATAGAGAATGATATTTATGCTAGGAAAATAGGAGAAGTGCGACTCGGATAGAAAGACCGTGTCCCTCGATGCCATGCCCTGCTGTACTTATATTGCTGAGAGGGATACGGGAGTATGCTCTAGGTTAGCAAATGTAGCTATTCGGAGCTACCTAGGCAACCACCCGTTCGGGAATTCCCACGTTCTCTGCGTGGTGAATTCCGAACTTGTTACAGCAGGGGCGCGGTGCTAGGATAGGCGGAGGGGGGAGTGGGCCCGAGAGGAAGGAGCGGAGGGGTGGGAGGAGGAGGACGAGGAATTAGTAGGAGTACTATCCCGGAAGTGGCTTAGAAAGAACCAGTTTAGGGGGCCAATGAGGCCCAAATGTGACCCAGCCGCATAGTTTTAAGACACTTTTCGTCTAGGGCCCCAGGTTCTGCCTTGTAGTAGTGCCACTACTAGAACGAAACTGTGTAGGTGTTTCATTTCTTTATCTGATAGGTGTTTCTAGATTGCCTGACGGGCTTACTATCTTCCTCGTTTATGATCTGCGCGGCGGCGAACAGGGAATACGCGGTGCGACGCCCACTAGTAGCAGTAGTAGTAGTATAGTAGTAGGGCCGCAAATAGCTCCGCGGCTCCGCCAAAATCCTCCCACCAGCTCCGCTACCTCCGGCGCCTCCTTCCCCCGAGATTACCCCCAATGACGTAAGCCCCGCCATGGCGTGCAACAAAACGAGAACGAGAGTTATCCGCACGACCCTGAGCGTGCGGCGGCGCGGCGGGCCCACCCCCATGACTCTTCCGCCGCGCATCGGGACGGCCGCGGCCGCGGGAAGGATGGGAGCGGATGGCAGCGCGGGGCTGGAGGTATGAGGGTCCGAGCGTGTCCGCTGCTTCCGGTCAGTTCTTGCCCAGCGAGTATTGGAGGGAGAGCTTGCCATCAGACGTTTGCGGTTTGTGCGGCCGTGGCGCGACGACTAGAAATCCTTCAAGACTTGGAGCCAAGAAGAAAGGCATGGGATGGCGAGACCTGGAGGCACCTGGAAAAGGATAGGCATGTGTTGTCGTGCAAGTCAACTTTCGCAACGTGCAGCGCAGTGGCATTCGGAACGTGGACTAAACTACACTCTCTCACTCGACTTTCTCACCGACGCAATCAGAGCTCGGATTTAGCGAGCTTGTTACGGGCAAGGACGCACCAGGCGACAAACTAGCAGTGGGGCGTGAGACTTTCGTGAATGCTGAATATCCTTCTGAACCATTCCTACACGCAAACAGACCGTATCATAACGTGAATCACATCGCCTAGCCGCATTCATACGAACTGTTAGGGTTCCACAAACCGCGCTACTCTTGCATCCGAAGCCACCCTAGCGCGAAAGAGGGTGTAAGGTATTGCTGCCAAGTGCAATTGGCACGTGTCCTCCTTTGCGGCGCGTGGGGTGCATTGCCCGAATTACTGTACTATCACTGCAAGCTTACAATGGATCAGAAGCTTGACTATAGGAAAAAAAAAATTAACCAAAAGATACTTCCTGTTTGATAGCATGTAACTTTGTTCGTGCTACACAGGAATCCTGAGTAGCACGAACAAAGTTACGGTACATGCTATAACTCTGGTGCATATAAACATTGTGCCTTGCACACAAGTAGCAGCAACACACGTCAACCATTTCTAATTATGTATTTCAGATCGAGCACTTCCCTTGGCTGATCTTGACGGGGTCTGGTAAACAAATTCTTGTCCCCCTATTTAGTCTATCTAGGCAATCATAGCCGTTTATTTTCTTGTAGCAGCTCTTTATGCCCTTGAAGAATCGGAACTGAATGGCACTGCACCTGTCATTATCGGTTGCAAGGTACACCTCGGACCGTGGGCATGAGCCCATTGTCATGCTCATACTGATGGCCACACAGATCTGCCACAGCAACAGCAGTCCCAACAAAGGGATAAGGGTACCCTTGGGGTTTAAGGTCAGGGAACTGAACAGCCTGAGCGATGCCTGCCTGACACATGCTCGAGAACATGCCAAATGCCGGACCCCGCTTACCACAATTCAAATTACCGTACACCACACCCAATTTCCCAATTCACCATCCCACCCCCCTCTCTAGACCTTCACACCTCCCAACCCCTCTCCCACCCCACCCCGCCGTACCTCCGATCCCGGGAAGCCGGATTCAACGGAGGGCGGCAGCAGGCGGTGGCAGTAGATGCCGGGGTTCATGCGGTAGAGCTCCAGCGCACTCAGCGGCGGGTCCATCCCCGCCAGCACCGCCGCACACGACGCGTTCCCCACGCTCTCCACTGTCACTGTCTCACCGCACACCGGCAGCAGTGCTGTGGCCCTCTCCACACAGATGGACAGACCCGTGGGTAGAGACTTGTCAGGGTCGCTGCTGCTGCTGCTGCTGCTGCTGCCGCCGCCGCCGCCGTCTAAAGGTGTTGTTGGTGTTTTTGTGGTGGTGGTTGCTGCAGTGGTGATGGAGCAGTCGAGGCCCGGGTTGAGGCGGAGGAGGTCGGTGGTGCAGGGCTGGGAGGGGTCCGGGCAGGAGGAGGTGAGGGAGAAGAGGGAGGCGATGGACTCACACGTGTCGTTCTGGTGGGGTGGATGGGGAGGGAAGGGGGGATGGGATGGGGGGAGGATGGAGAAGGGAAGGGGCGGGTTGAGGAGTGAAGGAGGAGTTGGGAGTGAGGGGAGGTTTGAGGCTGCTGGGAGTTGGCAGCACTGGGGCGAGGAGCGGGGCGAAGGAAGAAGAGCGGAGCGGAGGCGGAGAAGGACGGAGAAAGAGGCGGAGAGAAAGGGCGGTTGGGTGAAGAAGGGGAAGAAGAGGGGGAGCGACGACGTGGACACAGAAAGGGATGACAACGAAAGGAGACTGCGAGAATGCACATGTGCACAGGGCACAAACACGCGTGCAGGGCCACAAGTGCATGGGCAAGGCACGAAAGCAAGTGAGAGAAACCAAAGGAAAATTGAGAGATGGAAGAAGGAGAAGACGCAAAGAAAACCGGGTGGGAAGGGGGAGGAGCGTGGGGAGGAGGGCCGAGGGGAGGGGAAGAAGGAGAGCGGGAGGAAGAAGCAGCATAAGAGGTGGGCGGGCGAGCAGAAAAGAGCAAGGGATGCGACGTACACATGGTGGGTGCGGACAGTAGTGTGGACAGTGGTTCAGTGGACCTTACAGTAACAAGCGCAGCCCACCTGCACAGTGGTGTAGTAGACGGAGCAGGGCGAGTAGTCGAGGCTGGGCTTCACATTGACCACAGTGCCCTCAGGAATGGGCTTGTCACACGCCAGCAACTGCACTCGGTGGACGGGGGGGTAGTAGGGGAGGGAAGAGGCGCGGTGAGCAGGGCTATTCTTGAGGATGCAATGGAAGAACGCTCTCATGCCATGCCATGCCACCGTACCCCATCCCTGCAGCGCCCGTGCCCTTCCCCCACGCACCTCGTTCTGTTCGAGGAACTGGTCGAGTGTGAGGCTGAAGAGGGGGTGCACGTGGTAGCACCACATGGTGCTCACATTCACCGTGAAAAAGTTCTCACAGTCGCCTGGGGGAGAGTGCATAGGGATTGTGGGATGGGTTGTGTGGGATGTGGAGTGTGGAATGGAGGGTGGACGGACGGACTGCTCTTGAGACGTCCCAAAACTGGTGGCACTGCGTCGTGCTCACTCTCACTCTCACTGTCGCCTGGAGCGGTGCGGGATGTGGGATGGGGGGTGTGGGGTGTGTGGGGTGTGTGGGGGGGGCATATGGTGTTGGTGTTGGCTCGCCTCGCAGGAACCCAAGCAGCAGCACTGGACTGAATTGCTGCTGGTGTCCGGTCAGGAAGAAGAGCGGCAGAATGCAGCCTTGCAAGAACGCTCTGGCCAAAAACGATAGGAGCTAAAGCACCGGAGAGTCAGGTCAGGAGAGCAGCGGCACAGGCCTGGTGCAGCAGGAAGCAGGATGGAATAAGCAGGAAAGGCATGAGGAAGGGAAGGGGGACGGGATGGAGGGCAGGGTACTGACCGGGGGCACAGGAGGGGGCGCCGAATTCTGAGGTGCCGAGGTAGTAGTTGGGTGGACACACACAGGTGTATCCGCCGATTCCGTCGTTCACACACGTGCCCACTCCACAGGGATTCTTGTCACCCACACCACATGCATCTGCACACACGCATGCACACACGCATGCACACACGCATGCACACACAAACACATGCACACACGCATGCACACACAAACACATGCACACACGCATGCACACACAAACACATGCACACACGCATGCACACACAAACACATGCACACACGCATGCACACACAAACACATGCACACTCGCACGCACACACATTCACATGCACACTCGCATGCACACACACATGCACACACGCATGCACACACATTCACATGCACACACGCATGCACACACATTCACATGCACACACGCGCATGCACATACACATGCACATGCTCCCAACAAACACGGGTGGGGGGATATTGTCAAAGCAAGACGATGCATAGACGCCATAGGGCGTTACAGGATGGGGAAGGGGGGAGGGGGGTCGGGAGAGAGGGGGGAGGGGAGAATGCATGAGACAGCAATGCAGTGCAGCACATTGCCCCATGCCAAATGCCCCATGCCCAATGCCCCATGCCCAATGCCCTTCATGCTCCATGGCCTATGGTTGATGCCACGCTCCCTCCATACTCACCAATTTCACAGCCTCCAGTTATCCCACCCTGCTCTTGCCCGCCTCCTCCTGTCCCGCCCCCTCCTCCTCCCTGTTCTTCTCCCGGAGCGAACTGACTCGGAATAAACCCACCATTGCCACCACCACCACCACCACCACCACCACCACCAGCAGCAGCGGCACCAGCAATTCCCCAAGTGCTAGAGCCTGTAATTCCGCTGGGGCAGGAGGAGACGTCGGAGCGACAGTAGACACTGGTAGGGGACAGGCGAGACACGCCGAAGCAGGGGTCCAATGGGCCTGGTGGGGTGGTGGAGGGATGGGAGAGAGGGGTTGGTGCATGGGTGTTTTGGTTGATGGGGAGGACGAGAGAGGTGGAGAGAGGTAGAGAGAGGTAGAGAGAGAGCAGCTCGCAAACAGTGCTGCGCATGAAAGGGAATGCTGCAACCTATTCATGCGTGCATGCGTACTCACACACTCTCTTCCGTACAACACACGCACTCGCACGCACGCACGCATCCACACCCACCCGCACACACACACACCTGTCTGCAGCTCCCACCACGGGACGAGGTGCGCCTGCGTGGGGGAGGAAGAGGAAGACGATGCAGAGAAGGAGAGGAACACCGAGGGCTGTGTCGGCGACGGCTTGAGCACAGAGCAGAGCGACAGAGGAACGTCCAGCAACGCTCGCCTTGGCTGCACCTTCATTGCTGCCACAAACACCCGCATCCTCCCCTCCTGCCGCTCCTCCTCCTCCTCCGCCTCCTCCTCCACTGCTCCCGCCACCACCAACAGGAGCAGGAGGGTCGTACACGATCCAAACGTATCGCAGCTCGCCGCTGTTAAGAGGAAAGGCGTCCGCAGAAGCTGTGGCAATCGACCGGCTGTTCCCCCCCACGTTGACCCCCACGTGGTTGCTATTTGGGTCACCACTCTTGGCATCAAACCATGTGTCAAACTCCACTGCCACGCTCCTCTTGCCCATGCCCTTGTACCCCATGCCTGCCCCCCCTGTAGGCTCCGTTGCACTTATCACAAAGGCTAGCCCGTCCCCCTGCTGCTGCTCCTGCTGCTGCTCCTGCTCCTGGCCTTGCCCCCGCTGCTGCTGCCAGCCTGCCAGCCGTGCTTGCAGCTGCAGTGGAGGAGAGGAAGGGGAACGAAGCCGAGGAGGAAGAAGAGGAGGAAGAGGAGCGGGGCGTGTTGAGTTTTGTAACCTCGGGAGTGATGGAGAAGGAGAAGGAGAAGTTGAAGGCGAGCTGGCGGCCGCAGGGGTCCTGCGGAGTGGAGAAGGTGAAGAGCGTGACGAGCGGCAGCAGCGTCACGGCGCCCCACGCCCCGCGCACTCCCGGGCTCACCAGCAGCTGCTGCAAGGGGCTGTCAGGCGGCTGCGGCACATCGAAGGTGGGAACCACACCAGAGGTCTGCTTCCCTGAGAAGGACGCAGAGCCTTTGAGGCGCACAGGCGGCGAGTCGGTGAGGGAGAGCGAGAAGGACGCAGTCTGCGCCTCCGGCACACAGGAGCCTGGCGAAGCACGGTTCACGTACCCGTCGTCGCACTCACACACGGGCTTCCCTGCCTTGCCCAGCCGGCACGTGCCGACACCTGAGCACGGCTTCTGGTCCGGGGAAACGAGGCCGCAGAAGGCAAGGCAGGCAGAGAGGGGACGCTGGGGGTGGCGCGCGCAGCGGAAGGAGGAGGAGGGGGGTGGAGGGAAGGAGAGGCAGTTGGAGCGGAGGGAGAGGGTGCTGGGGCAGTAGGAGAGTGCGGGTTGGCCGTAGAGGTAGTTGTTGTCTAGCAGCAGCGTGGCGAGGGATGGAGGCCAGTCGGACGGGAGGTAGCCGGTAAGCTGGTTGTTGCGCAGGTTGCTGGTGGCATGGGGGGGACGGGCAGGGGAGATAGGGAGGGGACGAGGGCAGGAGGGACGGAGGAGGAGGGGAGGAGGTGAAGGAGGGGACAACAAGTGGGAAGGGGTCGATGAGCAAGGCGAAAGCAGAGACGAGCAGAGAAACAGTCATTTCCTGGAACCTGGCTTCTCCTAACAGCCTTCCGAGCTTTACGACCTTTCCTTGCCTCTTCTTCCCTTCCCACTGCCTTGACTTTGTTCCCGTTCCACCTCCCACCTCCCACCTCTCGCCACCTCTCACACTCCAATGCTCCCACTCCTTCCCACTCTTACAAAGACTTTTGAGCAACTCAAAAGTTTTCCCCCATGCACGTTCGCCTAATCTCTCGCCACTCTTTCTAACCTCTCTTTTTCCTGCCCTGCGTTCCTCTTGCCGTGTTTCCTAGAAATACAGCTGCCGTTTAAAAAGAATGCAGAAGAATAAGGCCAAGAGAAATGGGAAATAGAGAACAAGAGCGAGAACAGGAGTGGGGAGAGAATAGAGGAAGGGGGAAGAGGTCTCACAGCAGTTGTAGGTTGGGCGGTGTGGTGAGGTAGAGAGGAATGGGGCCGTACAGCCTGTTGTTGCTCAGATCCCTGCTCACTCATGCACACTCACACACACATGCAGCAATGCATGACGAGTGCATGGAAGGGAGGGAGCCATGGTGCTGGGCGGGGCGCATGGCACAAGTACGCATGGATGATGCGAGTGATGCCATACGGAGCAGCAACGGAAGGGGTATCGCGCACCTCCTGCCTCTCGCCTCCCGCCTCTAGTGAGGGCGAGAGAGCAACTAGTGCGTGAGAGCTCTCTTGTCACAAGAGAGCGTTCACAGTTGCTCGAGAGCAGAGAGGCTAATTACTGAGGCGCCTCATAATCAGACTGTCAGAGAGAGGGGGGCTCACAAATGGATCTGAGGCGCTAATGAGTGCTCACAGTTGCTCAAGAGCGGAGAGGTTGGCGAGGGAGGTGGGCAGCGACCCGGTGAGCTGCTTGCGACTCAACATGCTGCTCGCCGTGGCATGGTGACAGCACGCACGCACGCACGCACGCACGCCGCGTGTTGAGAAGACGGAGAGCCAGCGCAGTGCAGTGCACGCAGGCGAGGGAGAGCGGAGCCCAGCAGCGCAGCGCAGCGCAGCGCAGCACCACAGGCGACAGCACACGCGCACGCCAGCGCGGCGGTGATGGTGAGAGAGTGAACGGGGAGGGAGGGAGGGAGGTGAGTGGGGAGTGCAGGGAGTGGGGCAAAGGGGCAGGGGAAGTGAGGGGGAAAAGGGGGAGGCGAAGGGTAGGGGAAAGGAGCGAAATGGGGAAGGAAGGGAGGGGAGGGCAGGGGGGAGTAAGGGTACGACGGAGAGAGGAGAGGCGTGTGATACAGCACGTAGGTTAGGATGCAACAGCACGTCGACCTGTGATGCTCGAAAGAAAGCAGCACCCTGTCGGCTGTAAATCTCATAGGACATGGACACCCATGGCATGGCATGAATGCATGCATGCAACACGGTGTGGAGATCACGACCAATTTTGAGACGCCTCAAAGGAAGCAGCACCCTGTCGGCTGTAAGTCCCTTAGGACGTGGACACACATGGCACGAATGCATGCATGCAACACCGCTTTCAGAGCACGACCATACAAAGCCATGCCCATGTCATGCCCTTTCATGCCATGTCATGCCCTTTCATGCCATGTCATGTCAGCCCATGCGATGCCGTGGAATGCCATGCCCCGCCAAGCCCATGCCAGGTCATGCCACCAGGTCACGTACAGCTTCTGAACTTTGCCATTCTTGTCGCACGTCACTCCCGCCATCCGCGCGCACTCTCTGCCGCTCTGCCACGTGGCACTCCCCGGAAACGCGCCCCACTGCGCCTTGAGATCCGCCAGCACCGCCACTGCGCGCCGATTGAAACAAGGTATCCGCGGATGGGGGAAAGCGGAGGGGAATCGTGACACAAGGGGGGCGGAGAGGAAAAGGGAACATGAGCGGATTGTCGAAGGAAAGGAAATTGCCGACCGGGAGAGGGGCGGGACGAGAAACGCGGGGAGGAGACGAATAGTCAGTTTAGAAAACAGTTGAAGGCAAGACGAAAGGGTGAAGGGAAGGGGAAGGGGAATGAAGAATGACGTAGCGCATGCCAGTGATGGGGATGTTCGGGGGAAGGCCGTCAACTTGCGCAAGCTGCGGGAAAGAGGGGAGCGCGGTAGAACGTGGCGACTCGGAGGCGGAGTCACAGCCTCCGCGAGTCGCGCAACCGCTAGTACTGCTACTATCGTAATAAGCCTCAGTGGTGGTAGTTCTAGCACGAGACGCGGTATATGAGCACTGATAGAGGATGACTATAAGTACCTCCGTTGAAACTGGTAGCTAGCTACCCGACTCGGATGGGCTTACTGTCCGCGTCGCTTATGATCTGCGCGGAGGCAAACAGCGAATACGCCGACCGGCGCCTGAGAGTATTGCTTGTCGCGCGCGGACTCCGCCAATGGTGGCTCTGAGGATAGTAACTCCGCGAATAGTAACTCCGCTCCGCAGCGGTCGCAATCCTCCCGTAACGAGCTCCTCCACCTCCTCCGCGTCCCCCCGGAAGGCCGTCGCCTACTCCTGCGTCTACTCCCCTTCCGCCTCCGCCGTCCGCCGTGGTTTCCGCTAGTGGCGGAAGCTCCGCCATGGCGTGCAACAGCGCAAGGGCGAGCGCGACTTTGAGCGCGAGGCGGCGAGGGTCCACTCCCATCACGCGGCGCATCGAACGGCCCGAACGGGACTCAAAATAGCTGTGTCGGTTCGAAACTGGTCGTGACAGAACGGGACGGGTCGAGACGGGTTGGGTCTAAACGGGACGGGCCGAGACGGGACGGGTCGGGCCAGTAAGACGGATGGCGCAGCGCGGCGGGCACAAGGCAAGGCAGCGGTTACAGCGGATGGCGCGACGACTAGGGGAATGGCGTAAGGCAGCTGTACGGCGGATGGCGGCGGAAGGCGCGGGCGGGGGGGATGGCGTAAGCAGCGGTACGCCGGAGGCGGCGGACGGCGCGACGGTTAGGGGGATGGCGTAAGCAGCGGTACGGCGGATGGAGCAAGGCGGCAAGGCAAATGCCGCAAGACAGATGGCGCGAGGGGCGGCAAGGATGGCGCAAGGCGGCGTTAAGGCGGATGGAGCTGCCCCAGCCCTTTTCTGTGCTAGCACGTGGAGGGGTGGACGCCTCTCATCCCAACGTAATAGGCGCTTTTGAAAATTCTCGTACAACTCGCATCGAACGTTCGCGGTTTGTGCAAGGCGCGCCGCGCTCAATACCCTGCCGTTCGCTTTCAGCCTAGCAAAGCGAAGCTACGGATGGCACAATTCCCGCAACGTGCGGAACGGACTAGATCTGTGGCTGTCAGCGAGGGAGACGGCCGAAGCACTCGGAGTCTGCTGCTGGAATCAAAATCGGGTCGGGGTCGAGGGGAAGCTAGCGGTGGTTGGCAAGTCATGATGGTACTTGCAGGGAAGGTGCCACTCTGCGCGATTCTCGCACGGGTTTCCAGTCCCCCCCTTCCCCCACACCACAGTCCACTCTGCACTGCGGCGGAGTTTCTGAAGGAAATACTGTACTGTACAGTACATCTCCACTTCTCAGCCAAAAGGGTGTTCGAAGTGCCGCACCAGCTCGACGTCGAAGTATGTCGGTGAATCCTGACGGTTGAAACCATAGATCCAAGGGTTGACATTCACCGACATCCCTCGACGTCGAGGGATGCAGTACTTTGAACACTGGAGTTGCTTGCACTGGAGGTGGATCGGGTGGGTGGGAGGAGCAGAATGCGCCTAGGTGTGACGGTTCATTCGTAAAAAGCCTTTGAGCTGGGCTTCAGTGACCTCGCACACCCAAACCCAAACCCGTCACTGCGGCCTTGTCACTCTGCCTTAGGCGACCCTTTTCCCTTCACTGCAGCAGAGACGGCCCGTACAAATTTCCTAATTTACGATTCACTGTACAAGGCGTCTTTCAACCCTCGCTACGTTCAGGGGATTTTGGTTACAGTGCCAGACGTTTCAGAGGGTAATTGTATTTAAAAATGACTTGTTGCTCCCACAGCAGCAGTGCCCCTCTCCCTCCTCATCCAGCAGCCCAGCTGCTACTTCCTCGGAGAACCGACAAACAACCACAGACATTCTGACACAGTAACCGATAAAACCAGCCGGCCATGTACTGTAAGAGAATGCGGTTTGGGAAAGTGGGGATGATATACCTCAGCGGACGAAAAATGCCGCCCAATTTCGCGGTTCAAAAGGGACAAGGCCCCCCCTCGGGATTGACGACCTCCCGACGACCTCCGAGCTCCCAGACGGGCCCAAATGGCGTCCCAGGGGCCTCGGGAGCCCTCGGGATTGTCGACAATCCGACGACACCCGTTTGCGCTGGGAGATTCCTGAGAAGGAAATCTCAGCGGACAAAATTCGCCACGTCGAGCCGCGGATGCCTCCACGCGGACCAATAGGGAGGTGCGAGACCCGCCCCACCGATTACAAGGCTGCCACGACGTGGGCGTCGTGGCCACGCGTCGCTCTAGCGGTGCAAACCCACGCGGCGCAAATCGGACCGTCCACATCTTCACTGTCTTGTGGCATCGCGGGTTGCCAGGGAAGTCGGAGTCGACCAGATCCATGTCTGCTTGCCTTAATTTCTTCACTGGGGCGCCAATGGCGGTCGCAAGCCGCGTAACGCACGCCCATTCCGACGTGGAATGGCACTGGCTTACGCCCCTTCCGTGCAGCGCGGCGCCCAACTAGCCATGCCTGGCACGTGCCACGTCGGACAGTGCGCCGCCTTTACGAGAACACATGCACGGCGGCGGATGCATTGGGGTGTGCGTGACGCGCGGCAGCATCGTAGTCGCTCAGGACCATACCCGTCCGTTGCCCCGCGAGCCTGCTCATTCGCTTGTCCGTTCCTGCGTTCCTTCCTGCTCTCTCGTTCCCTTGGAATTTTCAGCTGCCAGTCTGTCATCGCGCCTGTAGGTTGCTCGACAGCCGATTGTTCGTCCAAGTCGGCACAGGTTCCACGTCGCGAGTCGACGTAGCAAGTCGGCGACGCATGGCCAGAGGTCGCCCGAGGGCCCAACAGCCGCAACCCATCCCACCCCCCGCCGACTCGGTAGACGCCGACATCAAGGCGCAGCTGGAACAGCTTGAACTCGAAGCCGAGCTAGACGCGCTTGAGCGAGAATTCGAAGAAGACGAAGACCGCCTGACGCTTCGCGCGTTCGCCGCACCCGTCACACAGTACCGTCTCTGGTTTACCACCCCCCGCGATCTCGAGGTCGACGCCGAGATAGACGTTATTGAGGGACATCTCGAGGACGACCGCCGCGCAACTGTTCGGGCGTACACCGCACCCGTGACTCAGTACCGGCAGTGGTTTAACAACCTCCCCAACGCACACGGACGACGGTAGAGCAGCAGACGTGTACCGACATGGCCGACGTCGACATGTCCGACGCTAGGCCATCCACCGACCAGGGTCCGACGACCACCGACCGCAGTCCGACATCCACCGACCACAGTCCGACACCTACCGACGAAGACAACCTGCAGTTACTCTACGATCTGGACAAGCTGACGCAGATCCCAGAAGGGGTGTTCACCACGGACGTTCCGCCACCGCCGATAGGGAAGTTCAACAAGAAGAAAAAACAGACTCCTACGCAAAATGGTCGGCCAGGTACCTCGTCGGCACCGGCCGCCCCTGGAAACCAGGTCGATGACGAGGACGCGGAGGAGGAGGGGGGGGAGGAGGAGGAGGAGGAGGAGGAGGAGGAGGAGGAGGAGGAGGAGGAGGAGGAAAGCGATGACGAAAACGACGACCGTCCACCTCGTAGCTCTAATCCGCGCACCTTGGACGAACGACTCAGGCGGGAACTGCAATTCATCGACATACTGCTCGACCAGGACGAGGACGAGGACCAGGAGAACTTGGCGGTGCCGCGCGAACAGTGGAGAGCGGCAGACTTCGTCGAGGAGG